TCTGAGTTGGAGGGGGGGGGTCAAGACTCTACTGGGGGGGGATTTGGGGGTGGAGTAAGATTTGAGCATCATTCTTATGAGGGTCCTTTCTCTCCAGCGGGGAGTTTGGGCTTCGTGCCCCGGCCGTTCGTGCTGCTTGGCCTGGGAGCCAATACAGGGGCTGTGATGGAAACTGGGGGGAGAGGGGAGTCCCTGGCATCATGGGGCTGAGTTTGAGCCAGTGACCTCCAGGTGTCATGCTCTGCACCCTGCCTCCAACCCACAAGCTGTCCTGGCCAGCCCCTGCCCCTCCCCCTGCCTATCTGAGAACACACGGCTGACCTGTGGCCTCCCAGTGGGTTCGGGGGGGTGAAAGTCCAGGGCCTTGGGAGCTTTATGGGTGCTCCTGGCCAATGGGCTGGAGGGACAGGTAATCAGTCCCCTTATCAGCTCCTAGGAGCCGGTTTATGAGCCTTTCCCAGCCCTCGGATGGGCTGGGGCCAGGCCGTGTGACAGGACAGAAGCAGGTGAAGTTTGGGGTGCAGGCAGCTGCAAGGTCAAATCTGTCTTGGCTGCGGCAGCAGGGTCAGAGCTTTATGGGTGCTCCTGGCCAATGGGCTGGAGGGACAGGTAATCAGTCCCCTTATCAGCTCCTAGGAGCCGGTTTATGAGCCTTTCCCAGCCCTCGGATGGGCTGGGGCCAGGCCGTGTGACAGGACAGAAGCAGGTGAAGTTTGGGGTGCAGGCAGCTGCAAGGTCAAATCTGTCTTGGCTGCGGCAGCAGGGTCAGGCTAGGCCAGGGCTGGACGGTGACTAGGGGCCGCTGTGTAGCCGGGAGCAGGGCATTGGCTCGGTAGGAAGCGCTGCCCCCTTGCAGGCAGGGCTGACCCCACAGTGTAGGCAGCAACCTCACTCCAAATGGGGTCGATGTGGGCTTGGGCCGGCCCCAGGCCTGGTGTGCATTTTGCAAAGCCCTCTGGGATACTGGAGGGGAGCCCTGGACTCCTGGCCATGTCCCGGCAAAGATCAGCAGCCAAACACCCAGCATATCCCGTCCTGGCAGCCCGGAGAGGCGGGGCTTCTGGAAGGGGCGTGGATGTTCGACTACATGGGGAGCCTGTTGTGGCCCCATCCACAGGCACTGGGGGGGAGGGGGAGCCATTCGCATGCGGGGGCAAGTCCCCAGGGGGGGCTGGCGCTG